AATCAGTTACCGTGTTCTTCCTGTCAATAAGCTTCTTCTTGGGTTTCCCCTACAGAAGTAGAAAGGACAACTGGGTTAGAGGACTGTTCAGATATTCTCCCCTGAGTTCACACGTGCACACATACACACTCCTGAGATAACATGGAATTAGGCCAGGGAAGGCTTCTTTGGGGAGAAGCAGAGAGATGTACTGAGAAAAGAACAGAGTCCCATAAGCATGGGGGAAGAGCAATAAAAAAAAAATGAATTCTAGAAAAAAAGTATAACAATTACTTGCATCTGTATATTCAGTCACAAATCAAATCACACTTATTCTTCACAACCACCATGTGAAGATTATTGGCCCTGGTTATTTAAAAAAAAAAAAAAAGCAGTAGGATAAGATCATTTTGTGACATGCCCAAGGCTGGAGCTTAGTGGGCTCAAATGGGAACCCAGAGGTTAGGTCTCAGAGTCCAGTGCTCTTCTTTATACTTTCACTGAACTGTATTATGTATTAGTAAAGGAAACCAATCTCAATTCTCATGGGGTTCAAAAAAGGATGCTCATGAGAAATAGATTATTCAAAATTTAAAAAAAAAAAATCCCTTTAAAAAAAGAGATGCTCTCCATAGTGTCTGAACTAGAGTTGGGCTCTCACCATAGGAAGTGAATGCCATTTATGTTTAAATTAGCTTTTGTTTTTCTTTAAAACATTGTCTCCTCATTCAATTTCCTTTCATTTAACACACATAACATCTCTCTTTTTTAACTTCCTCAGTTTTACTTGTATTCATTTGTGAATGTGTATACTTAGCTCAGTACAATTTTATCACTGTGTAGATTCACATATACATCACCACAGACAAGATACTGGACAATTCCATGACCATAGGATCCCCTGTGTCATCCTTTTATAACCACACACCTCTTACCTAACCCTTGGGTCCTTTTAATCCATTCTTCATCTTAAAACTTTATCATTTAAAATTTACCATTTAAAAATTTTAAAAATGTTATAAAAGGAGACAGATGCAATCAATGTTAAGATTTCCTATTTACAGAAAATCAAGTAGAAAGTAGGTCTTCACCAAAATGTTTGGTCTTTCCCTTCCCGTGTCTTCTTTTCATGCCAATGTCCTAATATTGTCTCCTTATCATCAGAAAGCCTCAAGATGATTTTAACTTTTTCATCAGATAATGGTTTGTTCCAGTAATATGCAATCATGGTTTCACATTACAATCACCTAGGCAGCTTTTAGGGAGTACCAATACTTCAGCCTGGGAGTTGGGCCAGAGCATCAACAGGGTTTATAAAATCTGCAGGTGCTACTAATATGTAGCCAGGGTGTAAACTATCATCATATTATAAGATAGCAGGTAAGATGCTATTTGTCAGGCAGGGTGGCAGGTGGGGGATGAGAGGGAGAGGGCAAGAAAGGCAGACAAAATTAACCAAAAAGAAGTAATTAGGGAATTAGTTTGAAAGTAATTCTGACAATAATACAACAGGATTTTCAAGAGGAAAAATATCAGTTTGGATTGAAGAGAACAAACTTACTGCAAGATGTTAGGGCTTGCAACAAATACAATTTCATTTTTTCGGTGCATGTTTGTGTGCGTGTGCCTACCATGTGGTACACTCTAGATACTGATAAAAACAAAGATGAACATAACAAAGTACTTCTCTCAAAAGCCAACTTGTGAAGTAGACAGGCTAGTAAGTAAACAAGCAGTTATAACACACTGTGGGAATCTGAATCAGACTGAGGGATTGGAAGGGCTGGCAGAACCTCCTCCTAGTCTGGGAGAGGAAAAAGGACACAACTAGTAGAATGTAGGGATGGACTGAAGGCCATTCCATGGGATGGCAAGTATGTAAGAAGAAGGAGGCATGAAAGAGCAAGGTGACACGGAGGGATTGGCCAAGGGTGGATGTGAAAAAATAGAGATTAGGCTAAAATTAATCCTCCAACTGAAATTTAGCATTTCCTTTATAGACATGTAGGAAACTGTCTGCAGCAGTGTTCATACGATTTTATTACCAAAAAACAAAAAAACCAATATATCTTTTTTCATATTACTTTAGAGATGTTACAGGTATCTCAAAATATTGCAACATGTACCATACTTTTGAAATTATGGTGATTATTAGACCGGCTGGTGGTCTTGTTTATTGAATTGTTAATAAAAACCACATATATTACTACGTCTAAAATCTCTTTATTGTTATGCTCCCCCTGGGAGAATGCTTTCTCACTTTAGTGATGGTTTCCCAATTGCCTGATCCACTTCCTTCTCCCTCATGGGAAGCCCAAAGATGGAAACATTCAGCCTCAAACACAGAGTCCATGTCAGTCCAGACTGAAACAACCTGTGAGGAAAATCATGCAAACTACCTATCCTTAGCAAATGGTCCATTACTTATAAAAACAACTGGACAATCAAAGATCACTAAATATATGAGGAAATATAGTAATACAAACCAGAAAGAATGAGATGAATGAACAGAACTAATCTAGAAGAATTAAATAAAATACAAAAAACAGAAAGGAACTTTCAACAAACTAAAAAAGTCAAAGAGATGTGAAAAAATATTTATGATATTGTGATTTATATTAAGAAATATATATTTGGGGGGTGCCCTGCGTGGCTCAGTTGGTTGAGCATCTGACTCTTGATTTCGGCTCAGGTCATGATCTCAGGGTTGTGAGACTGAGCCCTGAGTTGGGCTCTGTGCTCAGTGGGGAGTCTGCTTGAGATTCTCTCTCTCCCTCCCTCTGCCCCTCCCCCCCATGCACACTCTCTCTAAAATAAATAAATACATGTTTTAAAAGAAGAATTTAAAGAAATATGCATTTGGTCTCCACTCCCATCTCTGGTATAGAGTACCTAAAACCTCTGGAACTTCCTAAGTGATGAGCGTGGTAAAGGTGCCTTTCGTTATGCCAATGTGGTGACTTTGGGAATGCCCTGGGTCACCGTCAGGATGCGGGCTGGTCACCAGAGGAACCAACCATGTGATCAAAGGGCTGGAACTTCTGGTCCCATCTTGCTGACCTCTAGGAACGGGAGAGGGCCTGGAGATGGGAATTCAATCACCAATGGTCAAAGATTTAATCAATGGTGCCTATGTAATGATGCTTTCATAAAAATGCAAAAGGAGAGCATCCAGGTTGGTGCACACGTGGAGATCTGGGGGAGCCTGGCACACCTGGAGAGGGCAGAGTTCTGTACCCTTTCCCCATAACTTGCCCTATGCGTCTCTTCCATCTGGCCATTCCTGAATTATATCCTTTTATAATAAACCAGTGAGCTAGTAAGCGAAACGTTTCTCGGAGTTCTGTGAGCCACACCAGCAAATTAATCAAATGGAAGGAAGGAGAGAGCTGTAGGAACCTCTGATTTGGGGCTGGTCGATCAGAAGTCCAGGTAAGAACCTGGCCTTGCGACTGGTGTCCAAAGTCAGGCAAAGGCGGAGGAAGTGGGGAATGACACAGTCTTATAGGACTGAATCCTTAAACTGCGCAATCTGATGCTAATCTCTGGGCAGACAGTGCCAGGATTGAGTTGAATTCTCAGCTGCAAACAGGGGACAACTGCTTGGTGCTGTGGGGGAACCCGCCCACCACACTGGAAATAGGACCAGAACCATTTTAATATTACAGCCATGAACTCTAAAAACTAGTCAGAAATCAAAAATAGTTCCTGGATATTAAAATCATACTTGCCAAAGTTAAAAACGTAAATTGAACAACCCTCTCCTGTCTGGTACTGAATAACAAAATAGACAGGACTACAGATCAATTTAAAATTTTAGAAGAAAAAGTTCAAGAAACCTCCCAGAATTTAAAGCTAAGAAACATGAGATCAAAAGAATGAGAAAAAAGTAAACAAAAACAAAAACAAAAAACATGGAGCATATAGCAAAAGATCCAAAATCCATCTAACAGAAGTTCCACAAGGAGAGGAAGGAGAGGATGAGGGGAATATTTCCCACAGATGGAAGACTTAAATCTGCAGACTGAAATGACTCACCCACTGCAAAGCCAAAATAATGAAAAGTAACACACTAGAACATATCTTGGTAAAATACCTGAACTCTAAAGATAAAGGAGCCTGTAAAAGTTTCTAGGATTCCACGTGGGGGAGGAGAGAAAAAAACAGGTTAGATAGAAAGAATTGAGCTTCCATGTCTTCTAAGTGAATCTGAAGGTCTCTTTCATTAGAAGCTAAGTAGTGTAATTATTCCATCAATGGTAATAACCACAAATTTAAGGGGGAAATGGCAAATCCCCTATATTTCCTGATAATAATTCACAAAATTGTAAGAAATGGCTAAAATCTGGGTATCTGTTTTAAGCATCCTGTGAAAAAGCACATATAGCCTGAAAATAACATAAATTTCTCTAAATAACTAAGGTTCCTTAGTTTGATAGTCAATTACTAAACTGTCCTGCAAGACAATTACGTCTTAGGGGCAACAAAAGTGTGGGACTAAGTAGTGCCTGATTGCTGTGCTCTTTGAATTCCAATGTCCATTTTCCATCATTCTACCCTATCATCCCTTGTATTGAGGTTATCAATTGTCATTTTTTTACAACTCCTGGTGTATTTATTTTGTGAATTACCACCTTGCTCTACCTTTCCAAATCTGATCATTCTAATCTCTTCTAGTCTAGAAAAACAGATGAGGACATTGTGTCTAATGTAAAAAGGCACAGAGTACAGGTCTTCCTTTAAGAAGAATAAAGTTTAGGGCATTTGTTAAGATTGTTTAAAGATCATTATGGTTTAATATGTGGCCTCTGGAAACAGTACAAAGTGCTAAGAGTTAATGAATTCTGGGACAATGAGGTATGATACTGTGTTTTCTCTGCAAGGCCCTCTATATCGGAGATTTTCCGAAAGACCTTTTTTTTTATAAAGCCTCTTTCCTTCTTTTGTATGTACCTTCTCTTTATCACATAATCTAGTGATCTTATAAGATTAGCAAATTTACAAGATCAGCAAATCCCCACCTGTCCTGGAAGAGACGTGTTGCCAGCATATAGTTCATGGAGGTCTTGTGTTCGAGGTAGGACCTGAAAGACAAAGAATGAAACTGGCTATTTCTTAAGTTTGGATGAAGGGAAAAAATATGGAAATAAAGCCATGAATCAAGCACAGAAGTGACAGGTTACTTATATACGGTTTCTTAATAAACGTACGGTTCTCTAAAGTGGCAAAGGAGGAGAAAGTTGCTTAAATCAAAATTATAAAATACCAGAGTAGCAGCAGATACAATAAAATGAAAAGGATAAATGGAGTTGATTTAGAAAGTAAAAAGAAAGAAATGACAGGATTTCTTGGATTAATAAAAAGTGACACCCTAAATTCAGAAAATAAAACTGTAAAGTAAAAACAAAGCCACCACCAAAAATCATATATAACTAAGAAAGAGGTCAAATGAAGCCGGGAATGGGGAGAAGCATAAAGGGTGTGAAAATGTAGACAGAAGATGGTTTCAATCATGTTATTTCTCAAGAGCTTTCAATGGCTCTTCGACGCTTACTTCAGGAGGCATACTTTCTCTTCCAAGCTTTCAAAAGTTGGATAAGCTATACCACCAATTCCTTCACACTTTTTCCAGATGGTTCCCCAACATTGATCCTGCCATATAGCCAGACAAGCTCCCTTAAACTACTCTCACACCACACTTCCCAACGATCCTTTTGCCTTGGTCTGGACACCTCCTCACACCCTCTCCACTTATCCACGATCTACCCTTCAAGACGCAGCTCAAGTCCAGTCTGCTGCACAAAGTCCTTCCCTGACAGGACTGCTCTGAGACTATAGAAGCACCCTTGTCTGAACTACCTTAGCCTTTACTGAATGCCCAAAGAGGGACCTGTCATACACTGTCTCATAGAGGAAATTTTTTCTTCTCAGAAAGCAGCATGATACAGCAGGAAAAAAGTCAGATCCAGAGTCAGAATACCTGAATCAAGTCCCCCTGGGTGATCATGGAGAGTCACATTATCTTACTGATTACTTTCCATATCATTAAATTGGAATAACAATGATGTGCATGAAGTACATTATAATGACGAAAAGCCATACAAATGAGCTATTTTTATTATATGTATAAATAATTTCTCCATAATCCCACTGTTAACTCTCAAAGGGCAGGGATCCCACTTAATATTGGTTTTATACTCTGAAGCACCAAGCATAGTTCTAGACACCTGGCTGATACTCAATAAATATATATTAGTAAAAAGGCATATTTGTTAGTAGATAAATAAATACACCTTCTCCACTCTACATGATGGCAGCTCAATTAGTTTAATATTCTTTTTTTTTTTTTAAAGATTCTATTTATTTATTTGAGAGAGAGAGAGTGAGAGAGAGAGCGCAAGAGGGGGTAGGGTTAGAGGGAGAAGCAGACTCCCTGCCGAGCAGGGAGCCCGATGTGGGACTCGATCCCGGGACTCCGGGATCATGACCTGAGCCGAAGGCAGT